TAGGACCATCATGGGCAATGACATGGGAAAGGTAAGTCCTGCTCTGCCCAGGTAAAAGCATGGTGGAATCTCCAGTAGGTACAGCAAGAAGGACTGGGTTCTATTCCCAGCTCTGCCTATGACATACTGTGTGACCCTCCGTTTTCCCAACAGTACGACAAGGCCAGTACTTCCCCAGCTTACAGAGAAATGTCTGTAAACACTTTGAAGGTGAACAGTTCTCTGGCTATCATACTGCTCCTGCCTTCTGACGCATAGCAATTCTAAAGAAGTGTTTCTTGTGCCTGCAAGGACTCCGGTACCCCTGAAGGAGGCAACACAGAGGCAGCTGAGGAGGAAGATCCCTTCTACAAAAGCCCTGTAAACAAATTGGCAGCTTCAGTCTCCAACTTTGGCTATGACCTGTATCGCCAGCAGTCAAGCAAGACTCCCACCGCCAATGTGTTACTGTCTCCCTTCAGTGTAGCTACCACACTTTCTGGCCTTTTACTAGGTGAGTCCCTACTCCTCCTCCTCACGCATTCTTGTGCATGGCTGGAGGGGGGCCTCATGCTCCTTTATTTATGGTTGGCAGGTGCTGGAGAGCGAACAGAAGACCTGATTTCTCGTACTCTCTTCTACGACCTGCTTAACAAGGCTGAGGTCCACAACACCTACAAGGAGCTGCTGGCTAGCATCACTGCACCTGTAAAGGGCCTAAGAAGTGCCACCCGCATTGTTGTGGAGAGAAGTAAAAACCTTTCTTCACCTGCCTACATAAATCTTGTCCTTGTCCCTGAGCAGCAGTCAGTAGAGCAGAATGGATGGGTCACAGGCACCAATGGCTTCAGTTACAGGACCCAGCTGTGTCTGGAGCCTAAGCAACTGCTTCTGCCCTGTGCTGATTGCACCATGCAGTAACAATGTTGGGGGTCCCTATATAGAGCTTGGAAAATGTTTATTAAAATCAAAAGTGCCAACAGGGCACTTGGCAACAGAGCTGCTGGCACAGAAGGGACCCAAGAAGAACTTGCTTTGATAATTTCATCTCCTCCCTAAGCCTCATTCCAGCTGCGCCTACCTCCCAGGAGCCATCTAATGTATTTTCAATTCCAGATACAGTTTGATTATATCTTTTGCTTTACAATAATGATCAGCCCCAGCCTGAAGACAGATCATATAGGACTGTTTGACCCCTCTGAGTCAGTTAAAATGCCATGTTTCACTCTGCTCTAGACCATCTTGATAAGAATGCTAAAATCTCCCACTTCTCCCCACCCCACCCCCCGTCAACCTGATGGCTTGAGGAAGATCCAAGCTCCTCAATAAGCTGTAATCATGTAAGGAGTGTAGGGACAGGGCTAGAGTCAGACACCAAAGTGGTGGCAGCTACAGGTGGGCTTTCGGTTCCTATCACCAATCTTTACCCATTAGTTGAAGGTTTTGCCAGACTACAGCATAGGATGTGGCTGTTAGACTAGATAAATACATCAGTTCCCCACACAGCTTTAGTCAGACTCTCTAGGCGTTTGCACATGCCTGTGTATCACAACAATGGGTATTTAGAAGACTAGGTCTTAGATATCTGTAAGTATGTCAGGAAAGGGCATGGGTTGCTCACTGCCAGGCCTTCAGCTGTACCTCATTGCCTTGGGATTTCGTCTCTGATAGAGGGAGTAGGCTGCAGTAATGGTCTTTCTGCCCCTCAGAACTGAGAATGAAAATGGGGTTTGTGAGCCAGCTGGAGAAGTCCTATGGGACACGGCCCAAGTTGCTGACTGGCAATACCCATTCAGACCTGCAAGACATCAACAACTGGGTGCAACAGCAGACCAAGGGAAAGATTGTCAAATTCCTGAAGGAGATACCTACAGGCATCAGCATCTTCCTCATCGGGGCAGTTTATTTCAAAGGTAAGAGCTTACCATCGTTCATGGGCAGGGGGAGAGAGGGGGCTGTCTCCTAATTGCATGCCAGAAAACACAGGAGGGAAGATCACATTCTGGCCAGGGCACATTGAAGAGGTAGGCAGAAAGACAGAGTGACAGGAAGAAACTTCTTTGAACACATGGATATAGATTCTCTACTGTGAGTTTAGTAAAGGAGGTGGGACAGATGCCTGATGAACGTGGAAAGAACTTCCCCATGGGAGGAATCACTACTCACAGGAAGCTGAGTCTTGACCTGCTTGCAAAAAGGGGTCAGGGAAGGAGGAAAGTGAAAGCCTGTAAGGATGAAAGACAGAATGTCCTGCCCAATGGAGGGAGATTCATCAAGAGTTCAGATGGGACTGTGCCTGCCACACCACCCCTCTGCATGGACAGGAGATACTGGGGAGCTGTTCTAGGGAATCCAGACATCAAGTATTTATATTACAAGACCAGCTATTGGCCTAGTCAGGCTCAGGGCCACGTTGTGCTGGGTGCTCCCCAAACAGGGGTACAGAGACAGTCCCTGGCCTGGAGAGTTAACAATGAGCAAATACACAAAGGGTAGGTGGAGATTAGCAGTACCACTTATAGTTATATTTTATTTATGTAATTATAAATACATCAGCTCTCTCCAGCTGCTCCTCCACCCAACCAGCATATGTCAGCTGACTTCATGTCCAATCTGGCCAAACCTCAGATGGGATGGAAGGGGCTAGAGCGCCAACAGTAACAATAAGACAAAGTTGCAAGTATAGCTGATCCCAGTAACTGGCTTTCTGACCTCTATCATCCTCCACTTACCAAGACCAATCCCCTAAAGCAGGGCTATTTCATGTATGAAACCACAATACCATTCCACTGGCTACACACCCAGGCCTTAGGTTTTCCCATTATTCCTGAACGTTCCTGTTTTATTTTTAAAAATAGGACAGTGGGGGACCAAGTTTGACCCCACAAAGACTATGCTGCAGGACTTCCACCTGGATGAAGACAGATCCGTGAAGGTGCCCATGATGTCGGACCCCAAAGCCATACTGCGATATGGCTTCGACTCAGAACTCAACTGCAAGGTCAGGTGAAGGACTGAGCAAGAAAGAGAATGTAGCCCCTGTGCAAAATCACCTCGCTCTAGACTAGGGAAAGATCCATCCTCACTCACTAGCTCCCCCACACCAGGAGGGTGAGTTCTGCCCCTCCCACCAAACTCCTGTAACTCTTATTCTTTACACCAGGGCAGAGAGCTTTGGGTTTGCTCAGAGATCTCCACATCCCCATGATCATATAGCAAGCAACTACAGCTTTAAGTAGCACAAAGGTCTTTCCAGTCTGTACAGCCGCCCCAGCTGGGCAGGGAGGAAAGGGATAGGTTGCAGGGAAGGACAGGCTTTGGTAGAAGTTTCTCTCTGACTCACTGCCTTTCAAAAAGTGGAAAGTTATTCGCTCTACCACGTGGTACCAGCCTGTTCCTAATGGAGCTCCACCCTCTGGTAAGCATCCTCCCTCTGACAGGGGAGGGAAAGTGCTGCTTCTGGGAATTCATCAAGGCTGTTCCTGAAATAGCTGGAAAAGTTGCTAGTGAGCTAGGCAGGGCTGGCCCTGGGTCTGACTCCCAGAACTGGGGGCTGTGTATAGCACAGCATCAGTATAGGGGTGGAAGTTCCAGCTGAGAATTCCGCTCCACCCCATACTACAATTCAGTACAGATTCTCACAGGAAAGATGTTGCATTTTGCATTTCCTTTCACAGCCAGAGGGACAGGGTTTAGGGCAGAAGTCTGTACTGTGGAGGGGCAAGGGGAACCTGTGGTACAGCAGATAAGCAGGGTGGGAAGGAAGAACCTGGTAGGTGGAGTGGCTGGCCAGCCAACCAAGGTTCAGAGACCACAGCTGGCACTGGGAGATTCTGCTGGTGTGTTTAGAGATAACTCCTTGTCTTTTTTTACTACACTTCCAGATTGCCCAGCTACCACTGACAGGCGGGGTCAGTGCTATGTTCTTCCTGCCACAGAAGGTGACCCAGAACATGACCCTGATTGAGGAGAGTCTCACCTCGGAGTTTGTCCGTGACATAGACAGGGAGCTGAAGACAATTCACGCTGTGCTGAGCATACCCAGGCTGAAGCTGAGCTCTGAGGAGGCACTTAGCAGCACACTGCAGGAGATGAGTATGTACACAGAATGGCCCTCTGCAGGCTGCTGGGGCTCAGAGCTGCTCCTTCAGCTTCCCGAGAACAAGCAGCCAATGGTCACAAGCTAGGTCCTGCTGTCATATGTATGGACTTCATTGACAATGGCAGCTCATGCTTCCATCTCTCACATAGGCTCTGCCTGGGGCCCACTCCCACCATCTCCCAATGAGCTCAATGGGCCCTATGATTAGGGCTGCCAATTTTGGTTGGATTTATTCCTGGAGATTTCATCACATGACAATCTTTAATTCCTGGAAACTCCAGGCCAATCCTGGAGGGTTGGCAACACTACCTATGACTCCTCCCCTCTGCAGCACTGGTAGTACGGCCCCAATCTACAGCACTGTCTACTTACCCTCCCAGAAGGCCCCTTCTTCCCAGCTAATGGAATCTTCCTCCTTTCCCACAGGGCTCCAGTCGCTCTTCACAACACCTGACTTCAGCAAGATTTCTCCCAAATCCACCAAGCTCTCTCATGTGCAACACAAGGCAGTCCTGGAACTAAATGAAGATGGGGCAAGATCCACACCAAGCCCCGTAGAGAATGCTGCTCGCCTGACCTTCCCCCTCGACTACCATCTAGACAGACCGTTCCTATTTGTGCTGAGGGATGACACCACGGGAACCCTCCTCTTTATTGGCAAAATCCTGGACCCCAGGAGCACTTAGCTCCCTTGACAGCAGCCTGCAATGTTAGAGTCCTCCAGAAAGGCTGGGGTAACTGGGAAGGATGCTGGGTCCTGGCTCTGCTGCACAGTCAAACTTGCAAATGTTATGCCTACATGCTGCAATAAAAGAGCTTTTGCCACCAACATCTCAAAGCGCTGCAGTGTTCTCCCTTGTAACACAGGCCCTGGTTTGGTTTGCATTGGGTCCCCGTACCAGTTTCCCAGAGTTCCTCCAACATCACCATGTGTCCCCTGTGGTGAGTCCCACTGTACTGGCCCAAATTCTATTGCATCCCCTTCATTTTGTGGCCTCATTCCAGCCCTCTGTGTCTCATGTTTGCAGGAACAGGTGTGCTGAATGACAGGCAAGCACTTCAGTTTTCCAAAGCAAACAACAGCGGTGGGTGTGGGGGGGCTGTGTGCATAGGGCCAACATTTAACCCTCCAGGGAAGAACCACAACTTCAGAAAAACGCATAATAGGCTCTCAAATGCTTTTCTCAAAAGCATGTTAAGAAATTCTACAGCAACATTCCTTTCTCTGAGACAGCCCTTCTGTAAGTACCCCAGTGGTGTCCTCTCCCATTTCAGCAGTGATCAGCTTCATGCCCTGGCCCTCCCCCGGGACATGTCAGAGCTCACCCAGCTTGTAGCCAGGCCTTGTTTGCATGGCTGCTCTGCCACATGGAGCTTAGCTTCCTGAGGAGAGTCAGCACTGCAGCTTCCTTTGTTAGTCACTCAACCCTGTGAAGGAGGCTTCTGGGCAGCTCCAGCAGACAGGCTCTCATCTCCTGCAGTTCCTGGACCTGGGCATTCTGAGGGCCACAGTGCACACACAAAACTGTCTCTGCTCTTTGAATTGTGCACAGAGCTTCAGACACTGCAAACCTGAAGTACAGAGGGAAGAAGTGTGAGAAAGATTTAGGGGACAAACTTCCCTCAGCACATTTGATGAAGCCATTCATTCAGCACCCTTCATCCTGTCCTCCATTTCCCCTAAGCCAGGACAGCTCAGGCACCTCTTCCTTCTTTCACTGAGACAGAAATTCCCTGATCACAGGGGTAGGACTCACCCCCCACATCCCATCACTATCAGGCATAGGCGCTGACTCCGTGGGTGCTCTGGGGCTGGAGCACCCACGGGGAAAAATTGGTGGGTGCTCTGCACCCACCGGCAGCTCCCCACCCCGCCCCAGTTCACCTCCGCCTCCGCCCCCGCCCCTGAGTGCGCCGCTGGGTCCTGCTTCTCCCCGCTCCCTCCCATTGCGGCGCGCTTGGGAGAGGAGGTGGGGCCAGGGCAGGGATCTGGGGAGGGATCCAATAGGGGCAGGGAGGGGCGGAGACTCTGGGGCAGGGGTGGAGTTGGGGTGGGGCCGGGGGGGGGGGGCCGCCGCGACCCACTGGTGCTGACAAAAGTTGGCACCTGTGCTGTCAGGTAAATGCCCTCTGTTTTAGCTAGGGAACTCAAAGTGCTTCACCCTTGGAAAAACAGCCATATCTTATTGCCACTCTTGCCAAGGTGGGAGACAGTTAAACCAGAAATACTGATAAAAAAGGCGTCTACAAAAAAAGTAATGGGATCTGCTGGCCAATGATTAGAAGAGAAAGCATCTGGGGCACTGTCACTTTAAAAGGAAGTGTCAGCAGCACTGTAGTGCTGGGGTCTGAACACTCTATGGTACCTGGGATGCCAGAGAGGCTGTAACAGGAAAGGGGGCGATAGGACAGGAGTGGGACAGAGGAATGGGTGGGAAGGATGCCAAAAGGAACGCGAGATGGCTCCCTAGCCAACTGAAGGAAACTTTCATTTGATCCAAATACTTCACAGCCTCCACCTCATCCTGGATAAAAGGCAGATGTTTCCCCTTTGCCAGAACATCCAGCAGTCCTGGAAGACATCGCGCAAAGGGACTAATGATGCCAAGGACTTCCTGCCACACCCCCATCTCAGAGACACAAGGCACATGGACTAAAGCAGGGAAGAGCTGTAGAATGAAGGGTGAGATTGTTGGAATGGGGCTCTTTACCCATTAAAGAGGATCTGTGCCAGTTTGAAGAGTTCATGACCCGTTTCCACACTGGACGGTCCATGGCGAGCTTCCACAATTTGAATGCTGCGCCGCAGGTGCCTCGCTGCTTCCTGCCACTTTCCTGGCCAAAAAGAGAATGGATTATTATAGCTCCCTTTCTATAGCCACTGCCATGGAAGGAGCTCAAAGGACTTTACAACCTTAGTGAACTAAGACTCACAGTCCTTCTAGGAGGTAACAGAGGGGTGTTATCCTCATTGTACAGAGTGGGAAACTGATACACCCAAGGTCACACAGCCAGTCCCTGTTGGCTCGGAATAGAGCTTGTGGCTAAAACTAGATTCCTAAGAAGATTCTGCTATGTCAGTTTAGTGGGCTGCAATAAGAGAAGGGAGGTGAGAAAGGGAACAGACCAGTCAGGGAATCTCCTTCTACTGACATTAGATTTAATAGGCCAGTCATAGGAAAATGACCCCAGAGGTGACAGGAAGACATCTTACCAAGTGTGGCATAACCCTGTGCCAGGTGATCCTCAATCTCGCCCACCAGCATGTGCTCTGCAGACAGGAAGTTCTCAGCATCCACCCGGCACCTCATCAGCAGCTCAACAGCCTGATCTGCAAATCCAGGTAACAAAAGCACTTTACCCCGAGACACAAACCCATTCCGGGTGCCAGTTAGTCATGATCTGTGAAGTGAGATCGGGTCCACTCTCTTCCCGCCCCCCAGCCTTGAGCAGTTAGCCCTGGACTTTATATGCTGTTCTTGCAGAATTAGCTAGGGTCACCGTTTCTATTTCAGTCTGAAGCCTGTCTAACCTAATGCAGTGTCACTGGGGGCAGGGGGGCCTTCTGAAACATTGGGTCTGGGCCCGAACCTTTAACATTTCCCTGAATTCCCTCATATTCCAGTGGAGCAAACGTGAGTTTAGCCTCCCAGTCTGATCAGCAGTATAAGCAGCCTACCACTTGTGCTGCGAGAGATTCCAGCTTCATATCAGCAGTACCTAAATGCTTGGGCAAAACTGCCATCTGGTGGCTGGCACCAGGATCCCGCTATAAAGATTACTTGCACTTGTGTAATGAACTGAACAAGGTCCAAGATAGATGGCTGGCTCTCTTACTGGGCTGGTTGTCTTTGAGAAGTCCCAGTGCTGTTCTAACTTGCAGCCGAAGGTCCCATAACTGGCGTAGGAGGTAATCCCTGCCAACCAATAGTGTACAAGCACCACTGGAACAACGAAGCACATCTTCCCCCTGTGGAAGTCATAGAATCATAGGGACCTCAAGAGGTCTTCTAGTCCAGTCCCCCGCACTCAAGGCAGGACTAAATTATCTAGACCAAGCCACCTCTACAATCATTTCTGCACATAGAAAGCACAGAGTTGTGTATCTCTACACCCCTGTAGTGTATTACAGGGCTATTACACTGTTTCCCAGCCACACTTTAAACAAAGGGCCTGTCCGTGTGCTGGTGTTAGATCTTCAGAGCTCTGGAAGAAAGCTGAAGGAGTAGCCCTGGCAATGGCCAAAATAGGGCATGAGCCACCCCATTAATCTTCATAGAAAATACACTTTTTCTTCCCTCTTTCTTGAAGACTCATGGCTCAACAGCTGTTTTAGAAGTAAAAACAACAACATGGCTGTGCAGGGTACTTTACAAAAACAGATGAAACAGAGTCTCTACCCTAAGAGCTTACAATCTAAAGACAAGACCAGAACAACAGGAAAAGAGACCACCACGAAGTTGGCGGAGGATTAGGGCAAAGATCATATGATCTTGTGGTTGCTCGAGAGAGTAATGCACACATCCTGTTAGGGTCCTAGTAGGACTGTTTTTAGTTTATAAACCTTCCTTGAGAAATGGGTTTTGTGAAGGGATTACTGAGAGCAAGGGCACAAGGCAGACACATTAAGGGGTTTCCAAACATCTGGAGGATTGTGGGGGTGGGGGTAGAAAACAGTATTGAGTGGGACCTCTGGACAGGCTGGAGAAGTACAAGTCTTCCAAGAGGGTTGCTAGAGAATAACGAGACCATCCCTCACTTCTGCCTAGTCCCAAGAGTAGGGGCCCTGGACTCAGATCCCCACCTTGTCCTCACAGTACAATTCCAGAGTGCAGAGAATATTTAGTTTTACTAACACTTCAAAAGTTACACAGTTGTGATTATGAAACCGTTACCTGCATTGAAGCATGGCAGCTGGAACAGCAGAATATATCCCCTGTGGCTGCTATGCCTGTGACATCAGACCCCAACTCATCCAGGCAGGCCTGGCATCGACACTCAAAGAAATACTGACAAAGGAGCCGTTGACGCCTCTCAGCAGCCCCCATTCTGCATCGGTGAGGCCCTACAAAGGGATGATAACGAGTCAAAGAGATAATACTTTAAGAAAGCAGGAAAGTTGGGTACCCAATTACAGACTAAAATCCACCCTGCCATGGATTGAGAGGGAATATATAATCCGTGGCTTCATTACATTTTGGGTTTCCCACCCACATCTGAGGCCTTGCAATGAAATCAAAGGGACTGAAGAAGGGGTTGGTGTCGCCCAGTGCCTCTATGTCAGGGCTATAAGCTGTGGGTCCTACATCTTGAGATGCAACTAGAGAGTGACTGTAAGAGACAAACAGCAGGAGTAGGAGGTCTCATGCTGATGTCATTGACGCAGGGTTGTGCACACCCACATGCATGTGTGGATAGAACAGAGATAAACGCCAAACACATTTGGAAATGTGACCCTTGTGGCCATGATACTGCAGGGATTGCAGAGGTGAAAGGTCACTTGCGTACCCTATGTATTCCTGAAAGGGACTGCAACTTACCATAGCAATGGACAATCTCTTGCCCTCTTGGGATTGGCTGCGATGCCCTGACTGTGACAGCAGTCCCACTGAAAGTCACACTAGTATTAGGGTCGCAGGAATGGTTCAGGAGGCTGGTGACTGGGAAGAGGGCTGTGGCCAGGCGCACCTGCTCACTATCTGCAACAATGCTGTCTCCAGACTCTAAAGACCACACAACATAAAAGGAGCCAAATACATCATGAAATCAGACTTAGTGACCTACTTTGCTCATTCCAGGCACTGAATCTAATCACAGCAAAACATCAGCAGCAAAAAAAAGTTTTTGGTGTCTTAATGTAATAAGACAAATTTGAAAGCTGCCATGCTCACAGTCTGACCATGTGGAGATGGTTTGGGGTAATCAGCTCCCTATTTGAATCCACAGGGAAAGCAAAGAGTTTCTAGACTGATGAAGGTAAGTTCTATTCTTCTAGAATGCTACTATAATACAAATACTAAGTTTAAATATTTGATTTAGCTGCTGTTTAACTGAAATATTTAAAAAAACAGAACTTAAAATTATAAATTTAGAAATCTTTGCATCCAAATAATTTCTCCCTGCATCCAAATGAAGAGCAGATTCCGTAAGGTCTACTCTATAACGTCATTATACTTGACATTATAAAAAGATAAAAATAATCGAATTCTGCCAACAGATGTGTCTATTTTTAAGCATTTCCCCCCAATTTTTATCAATTTAAATTTTCACAGCTGAGAGAAATTATGGGGGGAAGTCAGACAATCATTAAATGGCAGTAGACATTGAGATTCAAAAAGTTAAAGCTTTATAGCTGTTAAAACACAAACTGTCAACATCCCATGTGAAAATATACAAAGTAAATATCTTTAACTCAAACTCAAATCAAACTAGTTCTCAAGCAGCATTTTTCTTACTTTCCCTATTTGTAAATTTTGATTGAAGTATTTTTTTCTGTTTGTGTATGTATGGTGAAACTGATGTTTACTGATATTTGCTGAAAAAAATCTAATTCTTCCAAGCCTAGTTATCTATCAAACTAGGGAAATGGGGTCTAGATGAAACCATCATAAACTGGGTGCAAAATTGGCTGAAAGACTGTACTCAGAGTAGTTATCAGTGGTTCACTGTCAAACTGGGAGGGCATACCCAGTGGAGTCCTGCAGGGATCAGTCCTGGGTTCGGTACTATCCAATATTTTCATTCATTCCATTATCCAAGTCATTGAGAGTATGCTTATAAAATTTGCAGACAACAACAACCTGGCAGGGGTTGCAAGTACTTTGGAAGAAAGGATTACAATTCAAAACAACCTTGACAAATTGAAGAATTGGTCTGAATTCAACAAGATGAAATTCTATAAAGATAAGTGCAAAGTACTCCACTTAGGAAAGAAAAATCAAATGCACAACTACAAAATGGGGAATAACTGGCTAGTTGGTAGTACTGTTGAACAGGATCTGGGGGTTATAATGGATCACAAATTGAATGAGTCTACAATGTGATGCAGCTGTGAAAAAGGCTAGTATCTTTCTAGGGTGTATATACAGAAGGTAACTGTCCCACTTTATTGGCACTGGTTAGGCCTCAGCTGGAGTACTGTGTCCATTTCTGGGTGCCACAGTTTAGGAAAGATGTGGATAAATTGGAGAGTCCAGAGGAGAGTAATAAAATGACAAGTCAGATTTTCTAAACCTTTTAGAAGGAAAAGTTAAAAAAAATGGTCATTTAGTCTTGAGAAAAAAAGACTGGCGGGGGGGGGGGGCGGGAGTTGGGAAAACAGTCTTCATATATGTTAAGGGCTCTTATAAAGAGGATGGTGATCAATTGTTCTTCATGTCCACTCAAGGTAGGACAAGGAATAATGGGCTTAATCTGCAGTCCTGGAGATTTAGGTTAGATATTAGGAAAAACGTTTTACCTATAATGATAGTTAAACTCTGGTATGGACTTCCAAGGGAGATGGTGGTATCTCCATCATTGCAAGTTTTTAAAAACAGGTTGGATAAATATCTGGCAGGGATAATCTAGGTTTACTTGGTCTTGTCACAGCACAGGGGGCTGGAGATGATGATTTCTTGAGGTCCCTTCCAGTCCTACATTTGTATGATTCTGTGCTGGGCATACCACTGGGAAAGAATAAGGAAGTTTCCATTGTAAAAGAGATTATGAGGTTTTAGGGAGCGAAGATACTTACACAAAGTTTACCCGAGTGCAGTGGGATCTCTTTAAGAGTGCTCATCCATTTACTATATCCCTCCCAAAGAACAATCCAACGAGGACAAGAGAGAAGAAGAGTACAGTTTCTCACTGACCTGACTCCCGGATTGCAGTCACCGCTTGCGCATTACAGTGCAGCTGCAACATATGTCTCAGCATTGCTTCTCCCAGAATCTTCAGCTCCAGAGACAATTCAGTAGACATCTTCACATGTGCTTTCAGTTTGGACTGGCTCTCACATGACCCCTGACTCAAAATGGTCAGATCTGCTTCTTGCAGTTTCTTGCATATGGCTACTATGCTCAGGGTGCAAAGGAACTTATGTTCAGGACTGTGCTTTTCAGCATGGGTCAAAAGGTTGAAGACAGCTTGGTAAGAACCCCGGTACTGTCCATCATCCTCACAACCAGGAATCAAAGGTTCTGCTTTCTCAGAGAGACCCTCCATGCCAGCTGTGGAATCTCGTGTCTCATCCCGACTCTCACCTCTGGCTTCAGCCTTGTGAAGTTCCTTGTCATCTTCATGAAACTGCTTCATTAAGCTGCTAACCTCTGCAAATCCAGCCACTAGAACAGTCCTTAAGGCAACATGGGAGAAGACCCCTAGTGTGAGCAGCAATGCCCCTAATGGGCACTCTGTACAGTGATAGTGCTCCCATGCCAGCTGTGCACACTTCTTGCTGCAGTACTTGGCATAGCTACACCCCCCGCAGGGCACTGAAGCCAAAAGCTGCTTCAAGCAGCGATGACAGTGGAGGTCCTCATTAGTGACCCTAGTATCCCAGGTTGTTTCAGCACTGTCCTGGAGCAACAGGCTCTTCCCTGGGCTGAGCACACTTACAAAGGCCTCCTCTTTCACCAAGTTCTCCCCTGGCAGAATATCTTTGGTGGCAACCAGATGACGTCCTCTGCAGGAGTTAAAGTTCAAGCTCACAGATGAAAATGCACTTGAAATTTTACCATTTTCTTCCCAGAATTCCAAGTCCTTTTGGGTTTTGCTGAGTGCTTCCGGCACCGATACTGGGCTACTCTCCTTCTCGTGTGCTTTCACTTTAAGTTGACTGATTTTTCTTAGCAGAATCTGGCGTGTGGTACTAGTCAGACTCTGATCCATAGCTATTTTACTCTCTATTGTGCTGATGACCCCTGCTGCTTCCTGTAATCTCCCCAGAAGAAGCAGACACTCAGTTTTCCGCAGCAAGATCTTAGGCTGCAATCTGTTTGGATAGCCCTGGGCTTGAGCCCTGTCAATGTCTTCTAGACAATCCTGGAAGCAAATACAAGAGGCCTTTTAAATGACTTTGAAAAATGCCAGAAAGATTTTTACTCTTCTGCCCCATCTGAGGTTGGGCACATTTCATTTATTTAGAACTGCATTAACTAAGTTTCTGGTCCATGACTGACCAGGGGTCAGAGTAAAGGCTTATACAATGCTGCCACTTTAAAAGTGAGACCATTCCACAGAGAGAAAGAATGCAGACACTCCCGAGGAAGTCAGAAAGGCACCTGCAGCTTGAAACAGTTTTAAAACCATATTGGACCACAGCCTCTTGTTCTGGTATTTAAACTTTGTTCTTTATTAATCTTAATTTGGATTTAAATAAACACAGGAAGACCTATCCCAGGTCTAATGTACAGGGTTTGGATAATATAGCTTTAATTAGTTAGTAAGCCCTCTACTGGCTTTCCCTCTCTTCTAGGTTTCAAAAGTCACCATAACACAGAGCAGCAGTGTATAAATGTAGCTAGGCATTGCACATTGTATACAGTTAGTAAATACAGTTATTTGGACTTCACTATGCCAGTGTGGTTTCTTCATATTATGTTTGCTGTATAAAGAGCAAAGGACATAACACCAAGCCCTAGGCACCGTTATCATCCACTAAAACTGTACCATAAAAACTATTACACAAACAGCAGCAAGAAGACATTACAAACCAGATTAAAATCATCCACCACTCAGATTCCCAAAAGAGAAACCCTACTCTAGCCCTCCCCAAATGCCATTTTAAGCTAATTTGGACCAAGAGCACACAATGTTGAGCAGTGGTCTCCCACTGAGGTATGGCCTTTTCCAATTTAGTGGCACTTCATTTTAACACCTTCAACTAGCCTGATTGCTGCTGTATTTTGGGAAACATAGTGGGATTATGCAGTGCTGGCACCTTCAGAAACACACAGCATGCCACTTTTTTGAAGTTGTGGCACAGCATATAAAACACAGTTGAATAGCTGCAAATCTTCACTGCCATTACTGGATTCGCTATACCCAGTTTTCAAAACGAATAGCTGCTGGTTTGTCCTTGATTGTGTCAAATCTAGTACTTACCTCAAAGTGACCCAAGTGAAAGAGGGCTGCAGAACGATTGGCATAACACAATGACATTTCTGGGCTGTTGTGGGACACTGCCTGCAAAGACCAAAAAGAGTAGTAGCCACATTAAGAAAGAGGAATTGGTATATGTTCTATGGGTAGTTTGGTTTCTGGGACATGAAATATGCGAGGTCATGGCTGGGAAAGGGAGAGGAGTGGGGTGAAGAAAGTCAATTCAACCTGTTATGTGCCAACACTGGACTATTGTACTGGAGATTTTCATGCCCAATCTGTCATTATCCTATCTTGCTTATCTTGACCTCTTCCATCTTTATTCCACACCATAATGGTTAGGAGGGCTCGTGAGATTCTTGGATGTATAAACAGGGGAATACAGAGGAGCAGGGAGGTATTATTATCTCTGTAGATTACATTAGTAAAACCATTACTGGAATCAAGTACCAGAGGGGTAGCCGTGTTATTCTGGATCTGTAAAAAGCAACAAAGAGTCCTGTGGCACCTTATAGACTAACAGACGTATTGGAGCATGAGCTTTCGTGGGTGAATACGTCTGACGAAGTGAGTATTCACCCACAAAAGCTTATGCTCCAATACGTCTGTTAGTCTATAAGGTGCCACAGGACTCTTTGTCGCTCATTACTGGAATATTCTTCCTGATTTTGATGCCTACTCTTCAAAGAGAGATGTTGATAAATTGGAGAGGGTTCAGAAAAGAGCAAAAATATTACTCAAGCTCTGAAAATCCTGCCTTACAGCAAAAGACGTAAGAAGCTCAATCTATTTAGTTATTATCTAGTTAAAAGATGATTCAATCACAGTCTATAAGTACTTGCACGAGAACATTTCATTATGCCTTTTTCTGTTAGACTAAATTCAGACTTTAAATACATTGCAAAATTTTAACAGAGAGATTAATCAACCACTGGAACAATTTGCCTAAGGACATGGTGGATTCTCCATCACTTGAAATCTTTAAACTAAGATTGGATGTCTTTTTAAAGACACACTATAGCTTAATCACAAAGAATGTATTTGATGTAGGAATTACTGGATGAAGTTCTATGGCCTGTGTTCTGTAGGAGGTCAGATTAGATTATTAGAAAGGCCCTTTCTGGCTTTAAAAATGTATTAATCATAATACACCTCTACCCCGAAATAACACAAATTCTGATATAACGTGGTAAAGCAGTGCTGGGGGGGGGAGGAGGGGGCCTGCACACTCCAGCGGATCAAAGCAAGTTCGATATAACGCGGTTTCACCTATAATGCGGTAAGATTTTTTGGCTCCCGAGGACAGCGTTATATCGAGGTAGAGGTGTAATTGGCCCTTCTCTAGAGTCTTCCATCCAAGGATCACAATGCATTTTACAAAAGCCTATAAATTAAGCCTCAACACCCTTGTGAGGAAGACGTTTTTATTTTACGTATCTAGAAACTAGAGAACACAGAGATCATAGATCCAATCCTGAATGTTGCAGAGCATTCTCAGCTCCCGTGAAAATTACCGGGAGTTGAGACAGCTTAGCACCTCTCCAGACTGAGCAAAGACTTGCCCAAGCCCATAGCAGAGATGGGAATCACATGTGGTCAGGCTATAGCAGAAAAACAGTTACTAGAGAAGACTGATTGGCTACAAGCAGGGTCCGTGCATAACAAAACTTCTCATGACTGTTCGACCCAAGGACGCCCCAGAATGCGATTTCCTTGCTAATCTTACACAACTGCATTAGACATCTGTTACAATATTCACAAACACTTCAGCATTCCTTTGGAGTTCCAGTAAAGTTATCCCCACATCAAACCCTGCTACCAGGAGATGAGCCGGAGGCTGAAGTACCCTCAAAGCAACCATTTTTCCATCTGTGTGAACAACTCGGACTCTTCACCTTGGAATAGAGTATTAGTGCGGCTGTGTATTCCTTGTTTTGAAATCTCTTGTTCCCCTCCTCCTTGTAGAAAAGTGCAGCTCTCGGATCCTTCCCCACCCAGTTACGGGCAGCCAGTCTGTGCAGAAATTCTTCATCGGCGGGCCTGCGAGGGGTTAGAAAGCTCAGTGTCGGGGGCTTGGCTGCCTGCCACACGGGTCACACAGCCAGGGGCGGTCAGTCAGCTACTCACTGGAAGAGAGGCACGCAGAGGAGGAAGGTGTCCCCGAGTGGCACTGCCACAGAGAGCTTCTGCTGCAGACAGGGGTCCAGCGAGGCCCACTTCCGACGTGCGTACGCCTCCCACTGCTCCACAGGCCGCTCCATGGCCCGCGGGCGGGAAGAGACCGGCAGGGCAGAGCCACTCTGCGAATCGGCAACGAGAGGGGCCGTCACAGACCCCGCGGCCCGGCTCAGTGCGTCCCGGCCGACCGGGGGCAGCCGGGACACGGCGCCTGCCGCTCACAGCGGCCCAGGGGACAGGCCCGCCGCAGCGAGCGCCTGACGCGGGGCCGGGCAGCGCACGGACCCCTCACGCGCCTGGAGACGCGGGCCGCTGAGCCCCCCCCAGCCCCGTCACTAGCGCCCTGGGCCGCCTTACACACTCCCAAGAAGGCTACACGACCCTGCCGCCTCACCCCCGCCCGGCGGGGCTCTCTCAGTCACGCTCCTCAGCCGTGGGACTCGGCGGAGCCAATGGCGGCGCCCACAGTCACACAAACAACGGCCAAGGGACTCACTTCCGCCGTACAGGGCACGCCGGCCAATGGTGGGGGCCGCATGGCTGACGCACGTACGTGCGTAGCGTACGTGCTGAGGGGGTGAAGTTGCGCGACGGCCGAGCGACAAGCGGGAGGATTTGGCGGCAGTGCGGAGAGCTCGCGGTCTGGGAGGCTACGCACCATGAGCGCGCGGCTGAGCGAGGGGGCTATCGCGGTGAGGGGCTTCGGGGGAGCGGGCGGCGGCGCTGCGGTTCCCCCTCCTCCCGTGGGAGCGAGCGGGGCGCTGGGCCCCGCGGGAGAGGAGCGGGGCTGGGTCTTGAGGTGGGGTTGCCTGAGGCTCGGGGAGGGGTGAGATGGGGGGTGTTTAATGCTCTGGGGGGCAGGAGCCCGGAGCGGGGCATGTGGAGGGAATGGGGGAGCGGGGCATGTGGGGGCCGGAGAGGAGCTGCGGGGCGGGGCATGTGCGGGGGAAAGGGGG